GCCTGCGTGGCCCCCCGGTGACCGTTCCTCCTGGCCCACCAAGGCGGGTGGCCACCAGCCCCCAGTGCAGCGAGGTGAGCCCCTACCTGCTTGTGCCCGCGGGGCAGCGTCCCAACCGTGTTGGCCAAGTGCTGGATCCTCCTGCTGTCCATGGGCAGATCCAGCTCCCTGCCGCCAGCATCGAAGCCCACCACGCTGCCATTGTGGTTCTGCTGAACACGCCGCCTCAGAGCCATGTCGGTGGAAGGGCAATTAAACGGGCATTGCTACAGGCTGGGCACGGCTGGGGGACTGCCCCCCGCTCGCCCCCCGGCTGGGGAACTGCACCGCGCTCACCCCTCCGAGCCATCGGCGAGTGCGGGACCGGAAAGGCAGCCACGTGACTGTGGTTTAGGTGCACGTTACATAAATCTCTTCTCACAGATCACCGGGGCACTCGGCGTGTGTTGTGCTCACAGGAGAGTTAAGAATTGGGCTTGGCAATTAAAGAAATCTGCTTAATTTTTCCATTCCTGTGCACAATAACTCTCACTGAACAGCTGCTATAATTGGTCCTTAAAGCACGACTTGCTCCAGCCTGACCTCAGCTTGTTCATTCGCTCACTCGCTCGCTCGCATCCCTTGCGTTGCTCAAATTTCCTCTTGGCAAAGATGGGAAAATCAGAGAATCAGAGATTCATTAAGGTTGGAAAAGATCTCCAAGATCATCAGGCCCAACCATCAACCCAACACCACCATGGCCACTAACTTATTGTGTCAGGAAAATGGTTAAAATCAGACATGCAACAAAAGCCACCCAGGGCAGTGGTGGAGTCCCCATCCCTGGAGGGATTGAAGAGTCATGTAGACATAGTGCTGAGGGACATGGGTTAGTCATAGGGGACTTGGCAGTGTTGGGTTCATGATGGGACTCGATGACCTCAAAGGTCCTTCCCAATGAGGCAATGCTGGGATTCTGTGACGTTGCCTACCTCTGTCTTCCTGGGCATTTTGAGGAACATGGTTTTGTTCTCCAGCCAAAGGCTGGGTTAGCGTTACTTTGTGGTATCTCGGTTATAACCAAGGGAAAATAAGGTTGTATTGTACTGAAACATTTCAATATTTGGCAAATATCTGCAATGAAAAAAATAATATCTTCTGGCCTAAGCTCAAACCATTTCAGTCTGTAAGTGCTGTCAGTGCCACAGAAGTTCATGTTTCCACTTCCATGTTCCCTCTTTTTACTAAACCGCTGTGACTGTTCCACCTCACGGAGCTCCCCATGCTCTGTCCTCCCGGCCACTCGGGAAGGTGTTTGCTGGAGCAGAGGAACTGCCGGTGTGGTGCCAGGGGGACAGTGGCACAGGGCTCCCCTGGATCTGCTCGTTCCCAGGGGTTGCTGAAGTGTTGGTCCATTCCCACCTTAAACATTCATCCCTCAAAACACCAGTATCTTACAAGAGACACACTGTGTTGGAAACATATGCTCCACACACCTGGAGGAGGGTTTGTGGCTGGTACATAACAAGTCCCCGCTGTCCCCATGCCTGTCCCCTGGCACACAGAGCAGGACAGATGTGCCTTGCATGTCACAGCAGCACAACAGGGATGATTTTAGATGTCTGTCCTTCACCTCTGAGAAGGGAAATGAGTCAGATCCAAGGGGAACACCTCCGGGTTAAGCGGTGGCACTGGCCCTGCTCACAGTTTGTCTGTCTCATCTCCTCCATGGTGCTTATTCAGAAGAAAAAAAGTGTTTAAAAAGTGATGCACAGCAGGGGGGAAGCTCTCTCCTTTTTCCTGAGAAAAGCAAGCTGTGTCTCAGGGACGGCATCTGCTCACTTGCTAAAGCACGCTGAGCAATGTGGGGAGCGACCGCGGTGACTCAAAGCCTCTTCCCCTTTTCCTGCTCACAGTCACCCTGCTAAGCGCCTCTGAAAACAACCAAAGTGCATTTCAGTTCCTCAGGCAACCCTCTCTTACGCTTCTGAAACCCAGTGACTCATCTCCAAACAGGCTGAGAGGAGAAACAAATAAAATCTCCCACCCCAGCAACAAGGGGACCTTGGTCAGAGCTGTCCCAGCAGCCACACACCAAGGGGCTGCTACAGCCCTGGGCTGTGCCCTGCCATGTCACAGCATCCCAGAATGGCCTGGATTGGAAAAGTCCTTTAAGCTCATGGAGTCCCATCATGAACCCAACACTGACAAGTCCCCTATGACTAACCCATGTCCCTCAGCACTATGTCTACACGACTCTTCAATCCCTCCAGGGATGGGGACTCCACCACTGCCCTGGGCAACCCCTTCCAATGCCTCAGAACCCTTGCAGCAAAGAAATTCTTCCTCACATCCCATCTCAACTGCCCTGGCCACAACTGGAGCCCATTTCCTCTTGTCCTGTCCCTTGGTCCTTGGTTGAACAGACCCACCCCCACCTCTCTCCACCCTCCTCCAAGGGACTTGGACAGAGCCACAAGGTCTCCCCTCAGCCTCCTTTTCTCCAGGCTCAACACCCCCAGTTCCCTCAGCCACAAGGGAACTCAGCACACTTGTGCTCCAGACCCTTCCCCAGCTCCGTTCCCTTCTCTGGACACGCTCCAGCACCTCCATGTCCTTCTTGGACTCAGGGGCCCAACACTGAACCCAGCACTCCAGCTGCGGCCTCACCAGTGCCCAGTGCAGGGGGAAGAGAATTTCCCTGCTCCTACTGGCCACACTATGACTGATCCAGGCCAGGATGCTGTTGGTCTTCTTGGCCACCTGGGCAGGGCTCTCATTTTCTCCTACCAATTTCTGTGGAGGGAAAGCAGAAAATCCTCATCTTCCTTCCTCTGACGCCAGAGCTGCTTTGCCCTGGATCCATGGTACAGCCCCATCCTGAAGGACCACAACCCCGAGACACCTCTAGGACAGCTCCTTGGTGAGGAGCAGCTGCTGCTTGATGGCAGCATTATCTGCCAGACCGAGCGTGCTGCTGCCTTGGCACTGGTGTCTCCACAGGCTGGGCTTGGCTTTCCCGTGCACCTTCGGGCCACGTGCTTCCTCACAGACCTTCAGGCTCTGCTCTATCCATTTCTCCTAGTCTTTGTCCAGCTGCTTTGTGCTACAAATTCCAAGCTGTTTGAAAGGAAACACAAACTGTTGTGACATGAAGAGACTGATTCCACATTAAAACCATGGATGGATGATCAGAGACTGAGGATGGGTTTATACACAGTTATGAAAAGAGAACTGGGTTCTTAAGTGACCTGTCTGAAAGGGCAACGTGGGGATGTTCCTGTGAGCTGGTCTGACCTGCATAACTTCATACGTTGTGGCACAGACTCGTTTATGAGAGTGCACAAACCCTCCGCAAGAGCGTGATGAAATCTGGTGCACAATTTCGAACAGCCTCTCTCCATATTTTTTGATTAAGGTTTTATATTGTCACACTTCAACACAGAGACAAACCACACAAGCTATTTGAAGCAGCCAGTCCTTTGTACCACCAGCTTTGCTTTTTGCCAAGTACCTGGTAACCCGTGCAATGCCTCAGAGTGACGGGTTGGGTACCCACATGGGTATCACCCCGGACGTCTCTCAGCAGAGCCAAGCGATCCCTGTGCCCTTCTCTGCCTGAGAACCCTTTCAGGAGAGAAAGTCTTCCTCACACCCAATCTAAACAGTCCTTGGCACATCCTCACAAATGAAGAGCAGTGGTTTGTGTCTCAGCAAGGCTTTACGTTTGAGTTCACCATTCACCAGCTCCCAAACGCACCGAAAACGATGTGAAGCTTTCCTGGGAGCAGAGCTCATGTGCATGACCCACTTCTGCAGCACCCATCCTTCCAAGGCTGAGGTGCCTGCAGGGTTTCTCCCCACACTGACATTCCTGGGCGGGGGGAACAAGGGAGGAGTCATCTTCTGCAGGACATGAACCTGTGCCTTCAGGGGCTGGAGAGCTGGATCTTCTCCTCTGCCGGCGGGTTTGCACCCACGACTCCTGCAGATTCCTCTGGAGCTGCTTTATCTGAACACAGGAAAATGAAGAATTAGTCCTTTCTCTTTTAGACCCAAATCCTCCACTGAGCCGTTTCAATGCAAAAGCCCCTGGCATTTTGCTGGCATGCCAAGTACCACACCTGGGCCCAGCTGGGATGCAGGGGAGGGGGCCAGTACCCGTGCAGGACAGCACCCATCCAGCTCACAGGGGTGAGCTGCTCCTCCTTCCACACCTGCTAGAAACAGGGATCTCTGAGGAAGCAGGAGTTTCTCAGGCTGCTGGAAGGGCAGCGCTTTGCTCTCCTGGACAATGGACCCAGCATGGTGATGGGCACCTTCCCACCGTGGTGACGGACACCCTCCCGGCGTGGTGATGGACACCCTCCCAGAACGGTGATGGACACCCTCCTGGCGTGGTGATGGACACCCTCCTGGCATGGTGATGGACACCCTCCCAGAATAGTGACGGACACCCTCCCAGCACGGAGACGGACACCCTCCCATCACAGCACCGGCCAGGGGATGCAGCCAAGCCCAGGCTGCTGCTGTGGGGCTGGGGACCCACTCCAGAGCCATCACATTCCTTACAGCACCCAGATCCTGTGCATCCCAGCCAGCATCAGCCCTGCTCACTGACACATGCTTCAAAGGTCCAGTCACCACGCAGGGCGAGTGCACGTACGCTCCACTGTCTGCTGCAGAAGGACCAAACCGACAAGTAATTGCCTGTAAAACAATGGTCATTTCAAGAAAAAAAAAGAAAAGCCCACAGTATCCTTCAAAAGCCAGGGGAGTCTCGCTGCTGCTCAGCAGTAGTGTGGTGGGTTTCATTTTGATGTGCCTTAAATTTGAAAAAAGCCTGATTCACATCCCTGGGTTACGGTTACGTTGGGCGGATTTTCAAGCAAGCAGAGAATTCAGAGCTGAAGTCCCGCACGCGAGTGGGTCTCACTCAGATTTACACCACTGGAAACAGAAAGAGCTGGAAGAGCAAGATCCAGGGATTTTTCCATGAAAGGGAGGGGCGGGGGGGCAGGCGCTGACCCAAGAGCTGCAGTTCATGTCTGAAACCTCCGATATCCACAAGTTACCTGGAACAGCCCTCAACCCTTTTCCCCTCAGGAAATGAACACAAAACAAATAGTTTTACACGTCACGGGAACACAATGGCAGAATGTGCTTAATTTATTAAAATTGCCATGTTCTTCTGAAAGTATACCAGTATGTAAAATGTGCATACAAAATACAACATGTAAACCAATTATTTACACCC